TTTTCCGACTGTATGTTTGTGAAATTAATCATGAAATCAATCAATTATGTTTTAAAAATATTTTCTGACTGTAATTAATCATGAAAACAATCAAAAAATTATTTTCAGACTGTATGTTTGTGATGAAATTATTTTCCGACTGTATGTTTGTGAAATTAATCATGAAATCAATCAATTATGTTTAAAATTATTTTCTGACTGTATGTTTGTGAAATTAATCATGAAATCAATCAATTATGTCTAAAAATATTTTCTGACTGTAATTAATCATGAAAACAATCAAAAAATTATTTTCCGACTGAATGTTTGTGAAATTAACCATGATCAATGATAACAATATTTATACAACAAGATTTTAAGTTAAACGTCGCGGCGAGTGAGCGGCGGCACATGCACGAATTTATTTGCAAGTATTTATTAACTCGTATTACTTATATTAAGTGATTCCATTCGAACTAAATTTCCTTCCATTTTTGTTTTGCGTAACGATTTTCAAGCCAATAAAATTTTAATTATTGCGTGATATCTGGAAGGGTGATAATCACAAAATTTAGCAAATGTCCCACTACGCTATTGTTTTTTATTATAATATCGGAAATTGTTAGTATGCGATTACTCACTTGGAATGTGAATGGTTTGAGAGCTGTAATTCAATATCACCCGTAAGTAACTAACTTGCAAATTTATTTTGTGTGTTATTGCTACTATAACTAAAAAAATTTAGTATATTTTTAAAAAAAGTTGGTATAAGGATAAAAGTTATCAGGTTAGTTTTATATTTATTGATTTGAGAAGTATATTATTAAACCTATGGCTGTCAAATAGGTCTAATTTGTAATATGTGAGAAGATTTTATTAGATACACTTGAAGCGGATATAATATGCTTTCAAGAAACAAAAATTACTTTGGACAAATTGGAAGCAACGATGGCTATAATTCCTGGTTATGATGCTTATTTTTCTTTTACAAAAGACAAAACAGCACGTTCAGGTGTGGTTACTTATGTTAAAACTAACAAAATAAGTCCAATTGCTGCTGAGGAAGGGATTTCAGGAATTCTTAATGAATTTTATGAGACATCAAACACTAAAAATCAAATTTCTAAAAGTAATATGGATAAACGGATTGAATCTACGACCACAAACAAATATGGTGCAAAAGAACTGTTGGAAATTGATTCAGAAGGACGATGTGTTTTATTAGACTTTAAGTTTTTTGTACTTTTTAATGTCTATTGTCCACATGAATCAAATTCAGATAGACTTACATTCAAAATGAAATTCTTTAAAGTTTTACAAAATCGTGTGGAAGCTTTATTAAATGATGGTAGACAAGTGATAATTATTGGTGATATTAATATTACACATCAAAAGATCGATCATTGTGATCCACAGAAAGCAATTAAAGATCAAAAAATGGATTCTTTTGAAGATCATCCTGCAAGAAAATGGTTTGATGGCTTTTTAGCACCAAATGGTCCAATGATCGATTTATTCAGAATATTTCATCCAAATGAGGAAGGAATGTACACATGTAAGTTTTTTATGTCAAAAATATATTTACCCCTCCCCCCTGCAAAATGGACATAATATTAAATTGATCAAATGTATATTTCCAGGTTGGAATACTCTTATAAATGCTAGGTAAGTTTAATTTTATGAATATATATATTATAATGTTATTAAATTTTATATTATTTCAATCTTATCAACTTTTTATAAAATACATAATTTTAATATATAATAAGACCTGCAAATTATGGTAAATTATACTATCAAGAATAGGCTTTTTATTGTGTTTACTATAGATATAAAATTAATTTCTTATTATCCCAATAGGTACACGATTGGATTATATACTTGTTAGTAAAGGAATGGTAAAATGGATGAAATCATGTGATGTTAAACAACAAATAATGGGCTCTGATCATTGTCCAGTTTCTTGTGAACTCTATGATGAAATTGAGGAGAATGGTAAAAAAATTAAGCTTTCTGATTTGATTAGTTCTAACTCATACATTACACAAAACAAGCTAGAGGCACCAAAACTTTGTGCCAAATATCTGTCCAAATTCTTTAATCAGACTAAATTACAAAGCTTTTTTAATAAATCAAATATGAATAATGATGAGATTGCAAATGTTAAGATAATTGATAATTCTAATGTTAATAGTTCTGTTGAAACCATTATTTTTGAAAAAGAAAAGATTTCACAAGAATTTCCCTCTAAATCAACTTCCATGCTGAAAAAAACTTCAATAAAATCACTGAATCGTATTGCTAAAAAAACAAATTCAACAATTCCGAATCAACCTACTCTTACAACATTTTTTAAAGCTTCGTTAGAGAAAAATGATAAACCAATTAAAATAATTGATATTGAAGAGAATATAGCCACTCCAAAATGTCAAGAATCATCATCATCTTTTTCATCAACATCAACATCAACATCAACAACAACAACAACAACAACAACAACAACATCATCATCATCATCATCATCATCATCGTCATCATCATCATCATTTTTGTTGTTCCAGAATGAAGAGTTGCTGAAAAACTCAATGGATGAAGAGATCAAAAAAATTATAAAAGAGAATAGTTCTGAAGAATGCATAGAAGATGATAAAAATTCTGAACATAAATCTGATATAATGTCTCAATGGAATATGATATTTATGCCCAAAGCAATTCCTAAATGTAAGGTGCATGGAGAACCATGTAAAAAATATAGAGTTAACAAAAATGGACCAAATGAAGGACGATATTTCTTTTCATGTTCAAGGTATGTTAAATGGATGTGTTGGTTTTATTTATTTCTTTATTTTATAAACAAAAGACTTTAACTTACAAGCATATTTTTAAATTAAAATTGTTTTTGAGACTGGTTGGATCATCACCAGAAAATCAATGTGATTATTTTGAATGGGCAAGAAATTCATCTTTGCCAACAAAAAGATTAAAACTCAGACAAGATGATAGAAAAAGCAACAAAATAACCAAGAAACAAACAAATTAACATTCCTTTCTGAGTAAAGTTTACTCATTATCTTTGGTTAAAATTTTTTATATCTTTCCATAAAAACTGACTTGAATGTCACTTAATAATTGTTTAGCAAGTACTGCTTCTTTGGCTTCTTTTCAAACCTGTTTTGCAGCTTCCTCTTTCTAACAATAAAAAAAAAGATGAACAATTAAATTTTATTATTAATAACAAATCTTATCAAATTATCAGAAAATAAACTATTTAAAGTTACTTGTAATGCTTCAGCTTTATCAGCTAATTCAGCACAATTAGGAAAAACTATAAAATCAAAAGTATGGGTGGAGCTTTATGGTTTAGATGAAGGCCTAACCACTGATTAAGTTCACTATGTAAACAAGTAGGATTGTTCAAATACCATGTGATTGGCAGGCATGTTAAAGTTCTGGGAATAGTTAAAGGATTGACACCTGCCATTATCATCTTGAAATCAAATAAAAAATAATAAAATTAAAAAAATTGTTCACTATTTTCCTTTAGTAATTTTCATTTACAAAAACTATGCCCCATTATGGGCATCCAAATATTTAGTATTAGATAAAATAAATCATGTATTTGAAGCCAAGACCTTCCTCTACAAAATTACGATTTCATTTCATTGATATGTCATGTGGAGGATTTGAGCTTTAAAGTTGCACAAAGTTTACTGAATTTACTATTCTTGGCCCTAAAATGGCCAGTTACACACAAAAAAGTTTATCAAAAATAGATGAATTGAAACAAAATAAAAATTTGAAAAATTTATCTTATATTGCAAGTCTTTTGTCATGTGAATTTTCCAATTATCTTTATTATTAAAAAAATACAAAGAACAGCTAAGTTCATTTATTTTAATTTAATAAATAGATTATTGCATTGATCAAAGAATGTGCAAAATATACTGCTATCTCCCAC